CAATTGGCTGCGTTTTCGATTACAATTTTTAATTTTTTACATATTGAAATATGTTAATATTTTTTGTTTTTTTTAATTTTGGTTTATCCCATTAGAAAGATAATTTGAATGAAGTACTTGATAATGTAAATAATTGAAACTTTGCGCTTTGATTCTGTCTTCTTAACAAATGTTTTAATATGCTAGAAAAAATTTGTTTCTATAATATATTATGGTCTATATTTCCAATAATAAAAAAATAAAAAAATTAATATTTCATTTCGTTGTTGAATTATAAATGAATTTTTGTTTATTGTGTGTATGTTGTGACTATTTATATGGGATTATTATATAGAAAAATCTTTTTGTTTTTATACATTATATTCGAAGAGGCATCTTATTTTTTAGAACTTTTTTTTGATTATCGTGAGATTAATTTGTGGTATATTATTCTCGTTTTTAATTTTTATGATATCGAATAATGTGATTATAGCAATCAAAATTTTATCAATGATAAATTTGTAAGGTGTCTCTTTTATCAATATTGATAATGATAAATATTATAATTTTATAATAATATTTATCAAATATAATATTTATTAATCAATATCCATGTATAGTGATTCTTGTATAGTGATTTATATGTTTCTTGTCTTATGGGAATTATGTCTACCACTATACAAATTAAATTATATTTTTAGGGATCAGGATTACCCTTTTTTTATATTTTAATAATTAATATTAAATTTTGTAATTCAGTAAAATTTTATAATTCATTGTTAATTTTCATTTATTTAGTATTAATTTGAATGTCTTTCATTGCTTTATTAATGAAAATTCATTAAATCCATTGTCAAAGAAATTTATTAGTCATTGTTTTTTCACATTCACAATTTTGCTGCAAATGCGGATAAATATATAAAATAATTAACGAGCGATACTTACATTGAATGGTATTTTAAATATATTATTACATTTACATCATTAAGCAAATTTTCAATCTTATCTACAAAAGAAATTATACGATAGCTTTTGTATTTCTGCGAAATAGTTTTAATTTGCAAATAACTTTACGCAGGAAATAATTTAATATTTTAACTTATTTCATTGTCAATAAGAGTAATATTCTATATAGAATTAGTAAATTACAAAAAATCTAAATTTTTCATTAAAACACAATATTATAACGATCATTCTAAAAGTGTGATTTGTAGATACCGTGCAAACTATAGTCACAAGCATATTGCAACCGATAGAATCATTATTTTAATTTAATAAAAAAAACAAAAAAAATACGTCACATTCATATGAATTTGTTCGTTTCATATGAAATGAGTTATAGAAGAAGAAAAATTTTCTTTTTTAATACCACGCGCTTAACAATCATTTTTAACGTTCAGAAAATTTATTTTCATCGTGTACAGAAATATATATTAAATAGTAGGCTTCAGTTACCGCTGAAAACCGATTGCCAATATCACACGAATTTGTTTTATGAAATTTATTGTCCGTTTATCCTTATAATTTAAATTCGATTTCGACATGAAATTTTCGTAAATAAATTAAGCAAATTCAACAATCTTTTTCATTTCGATATTAATGTAGAAATATAATTCTCGAATTTATAAAATCTCTATATATTATCCGAATTAAATTGAGAAATTCGTAAATTTAATTTCGAAAAATAAAATTACGAATAGAATTTTAATGATGAAAGTTCGAATGTAATAAATTACTTGAATTACAACAAATCATAATTTAACGTTTTGATATAATTTGATAGTGATTTTCATTTTCGATTTGTATAAACTTGTTTAATCAAATAGGAACAGTTTTCATCTTAAATTCATTATCCTCAATTTATATTATTTAACTCAATTACCAAATGGTGTCACAACCATGTTTATTTCAATGTTTGTTGTTCAATAAAATTGACTCTTTCTCTTTTCATACTTCACTGAACTTGATATTTTAATTGACAAATTCGCAACAATTTTGCGAATTCTAATTCGGTAAATTTATAACTTTTTAACAAAATATTTCCATGAATCGTTGGATTTATGATAAGCGAAACTACCGCCAGGGTTCGGTTTCGTCATACATTCTCTCTATGTTGTCGCGCAACATTTTTTCTTGATCTAAAACATTAAAAAAAACATTTATGCTATAAATTCTTAATATCTTCGTAACAGTGATAAATATATATTTGAAATTCATATCATTTCGTTTTTTAAAATTTAAATTTATTTATTTTTCTGCCAAAATAATTTCGCCATAATAATAAGAGAGTTATTAACAAACGTAAAATTTTTGTACGTATAGAAAATATACTATATATATAATAATATATAATGATAATTTCGATGACAAAAATATTAATCTTAAAAACAAAAATGAAAAATTAATTAATAAAAAAAAAAGAAGTATTTTTCATGTTACTATTATAGATATTACATTGTTTTGAAAAATTAGAATTTAAAGAAATTCACAAAGGACTTTCGTATATTATTTTTTCGAAAATTACTTTACCTTTCGTCAGATTTGCAATTACACATTGTTTCCTAAGAAATTCTAGGCACAGAGTACGTGATAGGCCAAACGCGTGCATGTTACACGTGAAAGTCCTAAAAAATTATAAGTATTTTTAATATTAAATAATGCAAAGCAAGAGTTTGTTTATTGTTCTATCACATTTCATTACCCTAATTGTCCAAAAACAATATTGGCTTGAAACTTTCGATCCTCAGCAGCATTAGCCTCTTGATCCAAAGATTTAGGTCTGGGAGGAACTGGCCTTGAAGCTCTTTCGCATTGTACCGCATCAAAGAAAGCTGCTGTCCAAAATCTCATTGATGTCCATATCGGTTGTATTCGTAAATGTGTGTATAAATATTCTCTATATGGCTCTAATCCTGGTACTTCGACTAAATGAATCCGATAAATACATTAATTACGAATGAAAGAAAAATTTCATTATCACATAATTATGTAATTAATTATGTTAATTATTTTAATAACATCTTTATAATATAGAAAATTTATAATGCACATATATAAACATAAAATTACGCGAGAGATAAATTTTTCATTACCTTCGTGGTAAAAAGTGAAACACATATTCATGAGACTTTTGGCAGGAGCAAAATCATCTGCTTCGTGACATTCGAAAAGCGCGACTGCAAAGTGTTGCGCCAAAGAATAGAAAGATGCTTCTGTTACACAAGGCCGTGCTCTCCTTGTATTCACCACTCTGGAGAACCATATTCTACCGGATTCTGTCTGCGAAAAATGGAAAACTATCATTTTTTGTTAAAAATGACTATATATAGAATTTAATAAATAATATAATTCGAATGATAAAATCTATTATGAACAAAATAGAGATAGAAAAGAATAAAAAAATTTATTTATTAAGATGATATGAATATTTATTAGTTTAATTTAAACTAATATTATTGAGTTTAATTTAAATAATTTGGTAATGCAAAAATTTCAATGTATCGATGAAATGAAAAACGATAAACGTAAAGAGAATTTTACTTTTAAAAAGTATACCTTTTAAAAAAAGAAACAAATAAAAAGTTTTAGTCTTTATTTAATCATCTAATTAATTAAATAATAGCTTAAAATAAAAAATTCAAACCATTTGCATTCAAAGAATGGAACGACCGATTTTAACACATACAAGAACCATTTGACCGAAGTTTGCTTTCTGTTCCTGATCAATAGTATTCGGAGCATCGAATAAAAGAGGTACAAAGGACTTCATAAAATCTGCAGCAGCCTCTTCGGATTGACTATCTGCTGATAAACTGGAAGCCCAAGATTGAACGGATCCCGATGAATCTGAATTATAAAAATAAGAATGATTACAACTAATTGTAATTGTGCCTTCAATGTATATTAATATTATTATTTTATTCTTTATAAATGATCATTATAAACGAGAATATATATCAATTAATTTTACCTGATCTATGCCATAATTTACGACCATCCATGTTCGAATCTAAACTTGTGCTGGGTCCGTATCCATCTTGATCGCTCGTCGAATCGCTGCTAGGCATTTCTGAAATAACATTCTACAGGAAACATTCGTCTAATTTGATTGAGAAACGTATCTACAATTCTCCTAATTAATACTTGAAATTGGTGCGTGTGCAACGTTATTGTATTGCTTCAACACCTTTGAGTATACACAGTCTAATCTAATGGCTTGAAACGAATATCACACAAATATAGGAGTGATACAGTGAAGCTATTAAAAATTGTAAATAAGTGTGTGTGTTCTATAAGGATTAAGACTAAATTGAACAAGCTCAATTTCATTTAAAAAGGATAAATAATATATGGTATCTTAAAAAATGAAAGGAAAATTAATTTTGAAATAAAAGGGAGAGAAGATGGATAAGAGATTTTAATTGTATAAAAAAATATTTGTGTTATAAAACACGTTGATAAAAGTTAAAAAGAATAAATATTTTGTATTATTATATAATAATATTATGTATCATATTTTAATCTTGTAAAAAAAATATGAATTAAGAAGAATTTCTTTTTCTAATAACTTCAATTTATTTTGAAGTAAATCATATAAAAGATATACTATATTATATAGAATTTCTTGAAGAGATATTATCCCCAATTTTCATTCGATGATATGAAAATTAACTTTATTTATATCATAACATTATATATTATCTACATTGTGATATTTTTCTAGCCTACTAGCTAGAAAGCACGTAACTTTTAAAAGATCTATCTAAGTTTTCATATTACACGACATCAAATATATTTATATGTAGATAAATTAAATATGAAAGCGTATCAAGATACATTTTCCAAGAAACACAAACTTCAGGAATCAAGGATCTATTTACATTATTGTTTTTATATCGACAAAAAAGTTCCAGCGGTGACAATTCCATTCACTTCCTACATACATATTTCATTTTCTTTTCGTATTCCGTGTTTCTTCATTCTTGATATATACATTTTATTTCCTTGCTCATGTCACAGAACGAAACAGTTAGATATAGAAATATGGAATTTTCAATGAAACTTTCGTTGTCGATACAAACAACGAATACAAACAACGAAATGAAAGGAAGGATATGTGAAACGAACGAGACCTGATGATATGGTGGGTGGTTCACATACATTCACATCAACGTTCATTTACCTAAACGAAAAACGACCGTCTGATAGCGGGTCGGGGCCCTTGCTTCATGACAAAGAAAAACAAAAATATATTATGTAAGAACATTCTCAAAAAAATAATAAATTTATTTCATGCTAAGAAGAAATAATAATTAAAGCAAATAAATTTATGGAAAGAGATTCTGTTTCATATCAAATTATGGGATTATAAAGGTAGCCAAAAAAATATAAAGGTAGCAAAGTCGAATTCAGAGGCTAAGAAGGAATACAAGAAATACATTTTTAAAAGAAAAGGATTTTAAAATCGATTTTATCATATATATTCATAAAAATATTAAAAATAATAGAAATAGATACACCAAAAAATTTTGTTACGTTGATATTAAAGAATAATTATATATTATTAGAAGAGATGTTTCACTTTGGATATTAAAAATTTTAGATACTCTTAGAACAAAATAATTTAAATATTGATTTTAATATTACGTTAGTATTTATAAAAATTATTATTCATGAATGAACGTTCCACTTTTTTCGTAATATTCAATAAAAATAATTGATTTTCGTGGTTGCTCACCTGTTCTATAATTCAATTTATCAAAGGGATCAGGTCCTGTAGCTTTAAGATCTTTTTCCTGAAGAGGTTCTATACTTTCTTGACTGTCTCTGTCAGGGCTGTCATCTTCCTCGATTTTACTTTCTTGTCTTTTAATTCCAGCCGATCTCGACGAAGCTATTTCCTCATAGGTCATACCCGGAGGATATTTTCTCATGCACCTTGAAGTATTAGTGCTACCTTGGCGCTCTAGTTTATGCCTTGCTATCGCTTCGTAATCTTCATACGATAAACCTGCTCCAAATCTATGCACATAACGCGAGATAAACTTTTAGAAAATATTTTTGAGAATATTGAAAATATTTTAAGAATATTACGGAAAGTAAGTTTCATATTTATATTGGATGTTTCCTATTTTTGAGATCAAATTATGAATCGGAAAGTGATCTACAAATGAAAATATGGGAAATATATTATATAAAATATATATTACATGTAAATATTTCGATTCAACGTTATAAGTAAATATTCAACCTATCATTTTTCACTCATAGATTATGGAAAATTATCCTGTATTATTCGAACAGCAAAATTAGAAATTTTCTCATAAATAATTTCAAATATTAATAATGCTGAATTTTTTGGGCTTAACGAATAAATTAAATACAATGTTTATGTTTTATTCTTAGTTTCCCATATAATTAAAGTTTGCACGAAATTGCATTTTTTCTTCGAACCGTCATAAATATGTATAGGTAGTAATATTTAGAATAGACTAGAAGGATACTCAATTAAAATGCAATTTTCAATTTCATTTATCACTACCCACACAAAAGCTACTTTCCTATTGATATAGATGTTCTCGATATAAAAGTCGAAAATATCCACCCACGAATTTATTAAAAGTATAGCATACTTTATTTTATATTAAAAAATAAAAATATTGGTAACAAAATTTTATCGAAAAAAAATTTAAAACAAAAGAGAACAGAATTTTAACGTACGTTAATGTTGTTAATCTTGGTCGGTCTGGACAATACCTAATTATATATTTCACTTTTAACAAACTTTATATCTTTTGGATGACTTAGAGAGAAATTCGTAAATTTTACTTCGTAGAACTTACTTCGGAAGCCTTAATTTCCTTCTAGCAAATTGTTCTTCTTCCGGTTTGGTAGTCTGAGGTGGTGCTTGTGGCGAAGAGGGTGGTGTCGACGGCGTCGTGGTCAATTCACTTTCTTCTAAACTGCTACTCAGAACAGATCCTATTCTGCTACCCAAACCCTGAAGATATTCTCCACTTCCTCCTAATGCAGACTTGACAGATCTGAGTGCACCTCTGGTGCGTCCAATTAGTGATACTCCACCGGTGGATGGAGCCGTCGTTACATCCACCATCTTCTGCACCAGAAAATATAACAATTTGATTTGATATAATTATTTATTTTAATTTTATGAAAACTCTTCATCTCTTATTAATTTAACTAGATTTTGGTTATTCACGATGGTTATTATATATTAAATTTTGAGTGTACAAAAATATACAAAAATGTACAAAAATCTATCTTATCAGAATTATTATATATCAGACAAAACATATATTAATTATAGAGTAGAATGCAAAAAAAAAAAAATTGAAAACATGATAAAAAAATGATAAAAAAATCATTATATATGATCAATTATAGTGAATATAAATATTTAATAATATGAAAATTTCTTTTTAAATTCTTTTAGTAAATTTTATTCAAATTTAAACATTAGAAAAAATTTAACAAAATTTATTCAATATCAATTATTAAATTATTAATTTTAAATTATTATATTATAGTTACGGAGTTATTTTATTGCACAAATAAATTCGTTATAGCCTTGATAATGAATGTGTTGTTTCAACATGTTATTTAACATTATATTATCTACTTTTTGTTTTGCCTAATGAACATTGTTTGATCGAAATAGGAGATAATTGTAGACAAGTAATAAAAAGCGCAAATGTAGGTCAACAAGTGTATGTGTAACTATATATGATGGATTAATATCAAGGCATTGTACGCAAAACGATAAATGTTCGCAGGAAAAGCCTGTCAAAATAGGAAAATGATTTTTGTATGAAAATAGGATTTTTGAAGCGAATTAAAATTAAAATGTTATATGATTATATAATTGGAGATATTATTGTATATATTGGAGATTTTCAAATAAATATTATGAATTTCATAATAGAAAATAAAAATAAAAATGAATATAAGATTATTTTTAAAAGTAAAAAAATAAAAAAGAAAAAAAAAATTTGAAGAATATTAATAATTTTTAAATTTATTTTGACATTAAAGTCAAAGTTTTTAAAATTTATTTTTTTATCACTTTTATTTTTCTTACTAATATAGTATTTAGTAAATAATATTTCTATAGTAATAATCATTTTTTGTTTATACATATTTCGATATTAATCATTGAAAACAATTCATTTCTTTGAATATTATTAATGGATATGTATATAATGGCAATATGTATACAATAGAAGTGTATATTTCAATTAAACATCAGAATTCATAATTGAATCATAATTGAAATATATTCCATAAAAAAAATGCGCTTTCTATTGATATTTTAAAAAAAGTATATTGTATGAAAATATTAATGAATAATACATTAACATTTTTATATATCAATATTTTTCTTAAAAAAATAAGTAATAACACTATTTGTATACAAACAATATAGAAATATATTAATATATTTACATAGTAAATAATATTTTATCAATTAGTGTTAAAGTGATAAGTAGGTTTATCTATTTTTACGTAGAAAAAAAGTAATAATAAAATTTTTTAATATAAATTTTATGTTAAATTAAATTTATGTGGATAATGATAAATGTATTTGAAATTCATATAATAAATTACTGTCAAATATGGAATAAAAAAACATAATTTAAAAAAGATATTAGAAGATAAATTATTAATAAGTATATATTGTGTTATTAATTATTTTATAATATTACACGTGTAAAAGGATAACCGAAGAAATTTCTCCGAATATATATATATAAATATATATATATATATAATTTTGAAATATATATTTGAATTCCATATAATAAATTACTGTCAAACACGAAATTCCAATTTATTATAATAAGTGTTTACGTAGAATGTGGAATAAATAATTGCCAATAATAGCCTATAAATAATGGAAATAATCTTTCGTTTCTTATTCATTGTTAGTAAGTAACTCGTTGTTTTTCAAATTTGTGTTGAGTAAAATTGTGTGTCATTTTGATATTAATATAATTCAACTTTTAATTGGTAGTAAGTATTTTATTTTTAATACGAATAATAAAAATAACAATTTATATATAGATGTAATTTCTTTTTGAAGATATTAATAAAAAATACATCGAACTTACAGAAATCAATGTTGATTCAAATAATTTTTAAATTAAAATATCATTTTGCAATATTTAATCAAGAAACTGTGTCTACATATAAATTGTTTATTTCAATGTAATCTCATATATTCAGTTATTTATAATGTTTCACCTGGAATATATGAATGATTTTAAAATTAGAACTCGTATCGATCTATAAAGTATATGTAGTTAAATATTCTATGTATAGATCGTTCTAATTAAAATAATGCGGTGAAGATAAATAATTACATATTATAATCATATTTTCGTCCGAATAAGAGTTATCAATTATTAATTTTATAAAAAGCAGCGATTTTAAAAATAAAAACACGAAATCATATTAACCGATTTGTTAATTCTTTTAAATTAAATCATATAAATTATTTTTTAATTTTTTATTTTCGTCCATAATATCATTTTAATTTTCATTTTATAAAATTAATGATAATTTTTAGATAATTAAACGCTGCTGAAAACGAGATATTGTTTTTAGAAATAGAAAAGAAATTGCTTATAGACAGGTGAGATATTAAAAGTTACGCATGATAATTATGAACCTAAACTTTGTTTCAAAGTAAACTTTTTCCTCTTTAACGTTTATGCGTGACATGACTTAATCTTTAATATTTACGCCTATAGAATTACAAACCGTGCAATCGTTTATCTCAAGCTTCTTATCACGCATTCATTAAGTATACATACAATCATATGAATGAAATTTTTACCGGTTTTAAAATAATCACGGATGTCCTTTAAAATAAATCATTTCGAACAAAACCGCATGCGGAAATTGATTAGATTACTTGTGTAACATAGTAATAGATTGTGTAATTCGGTATTTCTTTATTTACGGATTTATTTGTAAAAATTTAACATAAAAATGTTTCGCGAATGTTTTTTTTTTGTATTATTTAAGATAATCATAATTTAGATTTTTACATTTTTCATGAATGAATTTTCTTCTAAAATTTGTTCTTATTTATTGTATAAATTTATAATATTTTGATATGTGCCTCTCCTCATTTCTTTTCTTAATATTGAAAAAGAATAATATATATAGAAATATAGATATAAAGGAAAAGAATATATTTTTTATAATATAAGAAACTACAAAATAAATATAAAAATTTACAAAATAAAAATTTAGGAAATCGATTTAAATTTAATATTATTAAATTTAATACATGACAAAAATTTAAATATTCATATTTTGACATACATCTTTTAAATTTTGAATAATTTTGTAACATAATAATTTTTTTATTTATATATTATTGTTTTATCAATATTTTAAAGTAAGATAATATAGTTTGATAATAAATTTTGCAATTTTTACATGGATTATTTTAAAAAGGAAACGTAGGTTTCTAAGTTCGTAGTTTGGTATTTTATACACAATTTTTAAAGGATGTTTTTCATTTGTATTAAAATGAGAAGATAATATATATATATATAATTTTTAAACATTCTTTTTTTTTTATATATTATCGTCGGGTATATATCTTTTACGGACCACTCAAGTGAAGTTTGTTTGAAAATCGTGATATTACATGACGGAAAACAGAGGGAAAAGCTTTTTTAAGATCCAAAATTAGATCATCGATCGTGTCAATATTTCTATCAAAAATTCGATAAAGCTGCAAGAATTTGAAATTAAACTGGTACCAGGAATTGCGGAGGTGGAAATCGAACGGTGGTTGTAATATCGAGCAACAAGCATGCCAAGGCTATTAGAGTACATACGTTGCAATCCGATGAATGCTTGAATCGATATTATGCAATCTTTTATCTATATGATAGTATCATAAAATAATATTATAATTAAAACATTTAATTGTATAGAATTATTTATATATAAAAATTATTTTAAATCAATCCTAAAATGTAAATTAAAAATATTTAATATTTATTTAAAATAAAATAACGTATTAATTAAAATTAAAGCAAGATTTTGAATATTTTAAATCGCATTAAAAAAATGATCACATTTATAGAATGATCGTAAATCAAGAATACTATACATATATTATTGAAGAATGAACAAATCGCGAGTCTATTCACTTTATATTACATCTATATATACTATATATCTATATATACTATTACATCAAACATAATTGTATCAAGGACAAACAATTGTACAATTTCACGAATGCATAAAAGCACATCGAGAAATACAGTTTAGTCAACATCACCGCAATGCAGCTTTATCTATACCGTGTTATTCCGCACCATACGGGCCATTGCTCAATTTACAATTCTAAAAAATATGTTCACTAGTTTTGTCATTTGTCATTCTATACTTCTTTATATCCTCTATAATATTATTTAAATTACTGATTCTATACGCGATAAATTACCTATTTAGAATTTAAAACAATATGATTGTTTTTTTAATTCCAATGAAGAATTATTCAAAGCGTAGATAAGAAACGAAAAAGCAAAAAAGTTGATGGCGCACAAAATGAAAAAATGAAATTGAGAATTTTGCAATTTTTACATGGATTATTTTAAAAAGGAAACGTAATTTTCTAAGTTCGTAGTTTGATATTTTATACATGATTTTTAAAGGATGTTTTTCATTTGTATTAAAATGAGAAGTATCCAATATTCAAATGAATAGATGTTAATAAATAAAATATGTTACCGTTCGAAGAAGTGGACGGATTAAATTTCCTGATCCAATCTGATTCTCCTTACGATCACTTGGAAACACGTGTCTGATCACGAACAGTTCTCTGAACCGCGACTACTTAACTTTAGAGACGTATATACGAAACGTAGAGCACAGTTGCTTGCACTGGATGGTTTATTCGACTTGCATTGCCTCTCCATGTGATCCTATTAGCGCATACGCATGCGTATCCCGCGATCAATACAGTTTTACTTACCTTTCTTGAATTCCTTGGAATTGTCGGTATAACAGAGGTGTTGAGTTGATTAACGAAGAATGGGTTTGTTAGTGACAAACAGTAATACACCGATTCATGGTACTTTTATATTACGATTGTACATATTGTGTATACATACTCGACATACAGAATACAGATTTATCGTTTCATAAAATTTTATGACTCATGACTTAATATTGATCGCGATAAAAATCAAATTTAATTCAAATATTAAAGTTGATAAAATTATTGGGAATTTTTTTTTTGTTAAATTACAATATAATTTAACATGTTCAACGTATAAATATAGTAATTAGTTTCAAAATATAGTAGCTTCAAAATTTGTTGAATTCTTCTTTTTCCTTGTTGCTGGCCAGATTTTCGTTTGTGTAAATCTTTGTTGTCGCATCAAAACACTCGTGTCACTTATCAGGATATACTATTTTTGAAAGATTATCATCAAATATATTATAAAATCAAGATTATAATATTTTTTTTTATATTAAATATTAAAATTATTTTTTGTTTTGAAAAATAATGAAAATATATTGAATTAATATTCCATATTTTGTTTATAATCACACATTGAAAGCAAGTAAATAAACAAAGAGAGTAAAGAAGGATAGAGATAGCTTAATTATGAAATCAGCGCCATCTCTAGAATGCTGCAGATGAAACTATATAGACAAGGAGAAAAAATATTATAAAAAGGATAAAGATAGAGTAAGAATCGCTCTTTAGCGCCATCTTTAAAGTGCTGCAGATGACACTATATAGACAAGAAGAAAAAACAGAATAAAAAAGAGAGAGATAGGGTAAGAATCGATCTTCAGCGCCATCTTTTAAATGCCAAAAATAAACAAGAATAAAAATTGAATATTAGCATCTCTCGGATTACAAACTATATTTTTAAAATGTTTAAGAGATGGCAATAATATTTAATTCTTAAACTATTTGATCTTTGAAGAAATATCTTTGATAAAAATGGCTCTAGTTAGATTAATTCTTATACTATCATTGTCTTTTTTCTATTTTTCTATATTATTTTAATCTATGGTAAAAATGGCGCAAATTTTATAATTTTTAAGCTATTTCCGTCCTTCTTTTATTATTTGCTATTCTATAGAGTCTATAATTGTTGTACAAAAATTTCACAGATAACCCATATTTGATTAACTTTATTATCTTTTTTTGCTTAGTATTGATTAAAAATCTTAACAACTTTATTCCATCCAATTTTTATGTATCGTTAGATATATTTTTTATAGGTGACATACGATTTGATATGTAAAATTACTTTATAGAAGGGATATCTTGTTAAATAACATACAACAATAAGTAATCGAGTATTTTTTATTTCTCGGTAAATTTATGCAGAATACAGTACTAATTATACACGAGGTGTATTTATATTTTATACTTTGTATTTATATTAATATATATTTTCCCTTATCATTTCATCTTTCTCTTATACGTCATTATTATTTAATTACATCACATCAAACGGACACGGTGCTGAGTGGTTGTTCTCTTTATCGATTATGTACACATCTGTTGTGGTTAATTGTGCCGATTAAACCGAACGTGGAACGAAGAAACGAAAAAACTGAGGATAAAAGAAAAAGCGTACAATATTTGTTCGATTCCCATCATTTCCTATAATAATAATGTATTCAATCGATGAATGTTATCGTACCATTGATGATCATATTCGTACGAAAATCAACAGAAATCGAACATTTGTATGCTTCGTGGCTCGAGAAGTGCTCTTTTATGCGCACATCCATATGTACGTACGTATATGAGTATGTGTTCACATGTGTATGTCTATCTTTGAATTAGCTTATCTTACGAATTACGATTATTGGTCGAATATTGTTCGAAGCCTCTCTGTCGTGAAATATCGATTCTTCTCTCGCGACCTTCTATGCACGAGCCACGGTCTTTTCCATGGTACAATATATAATATATTTCTTTTTTATTATTTATACTTCTTTTCATTTTTTGTTCACTAGATACACCTAGAGCGAAGCGTTACAATAGGTTATACTTATCAAGAGCGCATTACATAATTCTTATTCTATCTGTTTAATTGGTAAAGCGGTCTTGATACGTATCTTTACTTGTTCTACTAGGAAAGGCCAGTAATTGTTCGAAAAGAGTTCTAGACGATTAAAGTGAGAATGAATGACGCGAGCGAAGACGCATGAAATAATGACAAGGAATTGTTTGACAATTCGAAATTGGATGCAGAAATGTGCACGATGTTAATAGTTCAAGGATGAAATGGAATGATTCTCTATACATAACTATAATGATTATCTGAATGTAGGTGTTTCCATCTGGAAATAAAGTGGATCATGTGGAAATAAAAGTTAATAGAAGTTGATAAAATCGAATTGTAAGGAACTAGGAGAAATGTAAATTACGAAGCAGAGAAAAGGAATAGTAATAGAAGAAAGTAATGAATTAAATGAAATTATTATTTAAAAGTATTTAAATTAAAATAAAATTTATAGTCAAAATATGTATAGTCAAAATATGATTGGAAGTAAAAATATCTATGTTAACAAATGATATTAAATAGTATAATCTTCATTAATTAAGTTCAATTTAATTAAACTTAATTAAAGATTTAAACTATAAATATAATTAATATAATTAATTCAAAGTATAATTAATGAAATACTGATTCGATTGGAATTAAAAAAAAAATTTTTTTTCTATTTAAATGTTAACTATTTTCTACATATTACGTAGAAAAGTTTTAGCTTCTGCAAGCCGATAATTTATTATAAGTATATAAATATCATCACTATTTAGAGATAAAAATTTAAAATGATAATATATATGACTCTTTTCATTCTTCAAAAGAAAGAAAAATTAAAATCTTCAATATAATTTCTGCATCCAATATTCTCTACCTCAAATTATGCGTCTAATTCTTTATATTTTAATTCGATCATATTTCTTCATAATATTAATGTATAAATATCGAAAATCGAAAACCTGTAGTTCAAGATGCGCATTCTAGATGGCGTCTTCGCTCGCGCGTTTTCTATTGAAATATTCTCTTGGTACGAGCTTGATTCCAAATGTGTTTGTCTTTTTTTTT